TCGCAAGTTCGCGGTCGTCACGAGCTTCCTTGCGTCCTGACTTTCTTCAGGGAGAACCCTAAAAGACACGATCCTGTCCGGGTCGGTGAGCAGGTCCAGGCTGGTCGTCTTGTTAACTGCAAAAGAATGTAGGTCATTAGAAAAAGCGAGCGCACGGTTAATGAATCTAGCGAAGAGGGACCTACTTGGTTTCTGAAAGCGGACGTAGTCGTCGTAGCAGAAGAAGAAGAACTTCGTCTCGTAGGCCCCCGCATTACTGGGATAGCTATGTATCCCTTCGGCGATGGTAGATCGCCAAGACAAGTAATAGGAGTCTTTGTCCTTACTCCTTTTGAGGTAACACGAACAGCCGAGCTCCACCGCTGTTAGCTCGCCCAAGCCACTCTCACGGCATGTGATGTACATCGCAACAACGATGACATACGCGTTTGGCATTAATTGCATTGGTACGATCCCAAAGTGATCCAGGACCGACCTAAAAAAAGGGTGGAGAGGAATCATCCCCCCACCCTTGAAGATCTCTTTAGAGATCGCAGCCAGGCCATCGGAAGGATGCCGCGACGATCAGGTGGCGTCGAGGAACACCTCCGCGCGGACGCCAAACTGTCTCTTTATCCTCTCGAATTCTTCTTGGGTGAGAACCGAGAAGACCTCAAGGGATTCGTCCACGGGAACATCCTGTGAAGACGAACCGGCTCCTTCTTCTGATCTGGACGCTAAGGGTTCCATTCCGCAGTCTGCAACACCGACAGACAGAAGGTCATTTTAGCCATCGTACGTCGCCCCGTACGGCAACTTGGAGCAAATTCCTTAAAACCTAACAGTGATTCGAGCCACCATTCACGGCAGGAACCCGACTCCATCGTCGCGCCTCTAATGAAACATCAGATGACGCAACGCCATTGTACCACCAAAAAAAAAAAAGAAAAAAAAAAAGGGGAACAAAAAACCCTTACCTTTTGGGGGGCGTGACCGTGGATGGTTCTTGCTTCAGATATCGGAGAGATGTCAATCGAAAAAGAAAGGCTTCCGGTTTGCAGAGAGTTTTCGCTCGAGGCAAATGGGATTCTGGTGGCCTCATCTGGAAAATCTGGGTTTTTATATGGACTACGAACCGGCATTTACCACCCCTCGAAATCAAAACGACGTTTCTCTCTCTCTCTCTGCATTAAATGCGCCCCATGCCGCATTTATTGCTGTGATGAGGGTTGTCGTTTCGGGCGTGTCATGCAATTAATGCTCTGCCAAAGCAATAACGCGTCAGCACATAACGCATTTAATGAGCCTGGCAGACGCCTGACACTCGCAGACCGCCTGTCAGTGTAGAAATGACCTCATTAAATCTCCATCTCTAAGGCACAGTAAGGAACGCCCAATGAAGTCAGGACGCTTAGGCGATGGCTGTCAGGTCGTTTGGACGGGGTTTGCGCGAGGTCATGTTCGCAAAAGGTCCTATCCCAAGCTTTTTTCATTCAGGTCAGAATGGTCAGGGCCTCCAATCGCGGCATGACTTAGTTTCCAAGGTTTGATCCTCAAACCTTAAAAACTAGGGGACTTCTGTTATGCTTGGGAAATCAAGGGCTGACGTGGAAAATCACGTGATGGGGGGTGACCTGCTCCCGTCAGAACGGTAAGCGCACGTCAGGCCTGCAAGATGCCGTGGAGCTCCCACGTGTCCATTCCCTGCTCCAAATCACGTGAAATCAGCTTGGAAGGTGGGCAATGTGACATAAAGCCGGATTTAGTCCTGACATTCACACCAACCCACGGATTTAATGATGATTATTTGCACTCATCTCACTATAAAAAGAAAAAATCCCTTCATTGAGGGGATTCGGCCTTTTTATACTCTGAACTAGGTTTCTCTCTCTCTTGTATTTACTTTTCCCTAATCATTTGTAAGTAAGTCTGCTGTTGCGACCTGACCCATGATTCTAATACAACCATCAATGGAAGTAGGATTTGCTACCTTAGCATCCGAACCACTTTAAAAAGCTCTCATTGTTGCATTTACTCTACATTTTATCCATAATCACGTGTGTCTCTTGACCAATCAACGTTACGCACGTGTCGATTAGTTGGTGTTAAAAGCACGCATCAACACAGTCATTCAGATTTGTGATATAAAAATTTAATTTTCTTCCCTTAAAGTTCAATTAAAATTATCAAATTCTCCATTCTAACCAACAATTGGTATCAGAGCAGGATCTAAGAGGATACACTCAAGAGAAATAGTTATGTATCTCTCCCCCATGGGCTAGAGATTGATGTTTGTAACTTTGTATCTCTTCCTCATCGTATAGAGAGGAGAGATGTGAGATTGTTTCTCTTCCTAAGAAATAAAGAAGAGACTGTGAATGTTCATTAAAAAACGTTTCCTCTTCTTTTACACAGGTTCTTCTCAGTGCAATTTTATTATGTAATTTTTTTTGTTCCAACACTCCTCCCATTTCTAGTAGTTGTTTTCTTCTTGCTTCTCCTAAATCGTTTAGATCCACCTGTTGCAAAAATTCTTTCCGTACTTGTGTTTCTAATGGCACGCGTCTGCATAAATTTTTTAACAGGGCTCTGAAAAGAATTCAAGACGACGGTCAGATTTGCAAATTCATTATTTTTTCTTAATCTTGCTACCTTGAATTTTTAGAAGCGGTAAATAATAATTGTAGTATTGGGCTGGTCTGAGGAGGAGAGATTTGCTAGACATCTTAAAAATAGGTGAATACAGTCAGTGGCGGACCCAGGATTTTTGTCCAGGGGAGGCCCCCTCGCTCTGCCACTGCTTGTCAATCAACTAGTGAAAATAAAGAAAATAACCTTACAAAGAAACACAAGAAAATTGTTACGTGGAAAAACCTCTTCAATGTGAAGAGATAAAAACATCATGGGAATCTAACGATCCACTTAAATCCAATATAATTAAATGAGTCTACTGATGCGTATTTTTGACAAACATGCAAATGTAGCAAGTGCACTAGTCGCAAAAAGTAATAAAGTGATAAGTAGAGTATCGTTCCCACGAGGATACTGTTACTAAGTACCGATTTCTCTAGTTTAAGTCCTAATTAAAGCAACAATAAATTGGATTGATGGAAAATTAACGAACTAAATACAATTTAAGAAAATATAAATGAATTATAATGAAATTAAAGCAAAACCCAACAACTTAACTAATTAAACAAAATGCTAAAAAAAATGCTAGGGTGTTGATTTCACCTAGATACGCTAACCCAAATCATAGAATCTATTACCCAAGTTCTAATTCCTTGATTGAAAACCGAATTCCCTAAGTTGTAAAACATATCTTCTCAGGCTATATTTTCCTACTTATCCCTATTAAGCTTCCGCACCCAACAAAATGAAGATTAATAGTTCAAAGTTTTTTAAGCTTTATGGAATTCTATCTAGATTTCATAAATCGGTAAACCTATTTCTAGCGTTTGCTTAATCTACGGTATTTATCCCAAGAGGCACAATCAATCACTTCTTAGTCCCATTGTCAACAATACACATTTGAATGGTGATCAAGCATCCAAAAGTCATTAAGCAAAGAGATAAACACTCAATCATGAAATTAAAACTCAAAGTAAATCAATTCATATAAATTTGAATCATTGTATCAATGTTACATCAAACCCTAGCTAAACAACTCAATTCATACTCAAAAACAAAATAAAATAACAAAAACAAACTGAATCAAGATTCATCATTGAAAAACAAGCAAAAGATGGAGAAATCTTCTCTAATTTGAAGATCAAATCTTCAATAATCTTCTCCTTCCAAGAGCTGCCTTCCAAATGACGAACCAAGACCCTTTTTCTTTCATTTTCATGCTAATTTATACCTCTTTCACTTAAGGACGAAGCCCTAGCAAGCCAAAACGCTTCATTTTATTTTTCACATCTGACGCAGTTTTGCCGCGGCGAAGCTTTTTCCTTATAGCAGTGAGAATCTTTTGGGCCAAATTTGAGCATTAAAGAGTCTGAATTTGGAAAAGTGTTAAACACATGAATTATAGCCCTTTAAATTATCTTTCTACTTGTTCAAGAATCAGCACAATCCGAGGTCTAAAGCTCAAGTTATGGCAGAAATACTAAAGCACATCCAAAGACGTTTTTCTTCCGTTTCCAACATTCTGTTCACGACTTCAAGCCAAGTTTTCACCCTTGTCCAGTCAGAATTAGGAAAAACCCAAAACATGAAAGTTGTAGCTCTGGTTCTTAGCTTTCCAAATCTTCTAAAATCAGGTCATTCTGTGTTTCCAAGCTCAAGTTACCCAATTTACAGTCAAAACTGTCATTTATACTCAAAATCATCGTTTAGGCTTGCAAAGACAAATTAATAGAATTAGGTAGTAATTATGGCCCAAATTGTATAAGAAGTATCCTAAATCCTATCGAAATTTAATGCAAAATCATAGAAAAAAATATGATTACCATTTACAACAACCACAAATCTACCAAAAATATTCTATATAAATTTAGAGCTCAATCACAACTCTAATAAAAATAAAATACACAAAGGTTTACTAAAAGATGGATTACAATCACTCCAAATTCAGATCCGCATGTAAGAGGAAAGTTGGGAATTGTAAAAGAAAAACTTGAATATAAAAAAGATAAAACCTAACTTTTTAATTTTTTAACTTTTAACTTTTAACTTTTCTTTTTTACCTTTTAATAAAATTTTTCAATTTTTCTTTTAAAGTTGAGGGCATGCCTGGGCCTACCCTCAAGGGGCCTGGGTCCGCCCCTGAATACAGTGTTGGGTTGGCAGAAGTTGCAGGTATAAAGTACGATACCAGACCATGAACCGTAGCCAATTTAGATAGATATTTATAAATAATGATGAATACGCTTATATGTTCACTTACTCTTCTAGCAATTCACCAGTAATATGAAAAATCAAATGCTCTTTAGCTCATGCAAATAGTTGGTGATGGTTCATATGATGTTGTACTGTTTAAACATTATACAAACTATTATTGCATTCTCAAACATACATAACATGAAGGCATAATTTATTAGGGAAGCTAATGATACAGCATGGAAGAGAATACATTATTATAAATGAAAGCTACAGATCCGAAGTTATTATCAGCTTAGTAGTAGGAAGTAGCCATTCTAATTATACAAGTACTAAAAACACACAAACTTAAATTATTTATGATGCGTAAACAGTTCCGGACAGAATCTTTGGATGGTTTGTAACACGGTGAGCAGTAAGAGTATGGCTGCAGCAACAGTTCCAGTGCCTCTCCAAAGATTTTCAAAGTACACATTTATCAACGTTGCCTTGGTGCGATTCCACCATTTGTCGTGGTGGTCTTTCAGCGGCTTGCAAATACGTGGTCGGTAACAGGAAGCACTTGGCGTAATCTCAAGGCCAAGTTTGTTAAACATCTCTTTAATTGAATCATGGTCGCCCACACAATTGGAGATGATTCCATTGTCAACAAGCAAATCCACATCTTTCCTCGTGTTGATCAGAGTATCCATTAGATCAATATAGTTGCAAATATGAGTTTCAAATGGATAATGGCACTGCTCCAAGGCCATCAAGTTTCGAAACAAACATTCCGTATCATCTTCAATTTTAAGGTGTGGAATCTTTAGCACTTCTCCTCTAAGCCACCCAATACACGAGTCTTCTGATCTCTTTTCAAATTCTATGTTAATGTTAAGTATACTTTTTTCTTTTTTGTTTTCTTTGTGTGACTCACACTTCTTCCCCGACTCATCCGGCTTCTTAAACTTCACCCCTGACCCACTTAGCTTCACTGCACTTGGTAAATCTTCAATTTTTCCGCCCGGATACTCTGTTGAATTTTGATCGACTTTGACTTTGACCAACATAGTATGTCTTCTCAAGTCGACAAAATGTTTAATTTTGTCATCCCAATTAGCTCCTCCATCCGGCTCCTTATAACCGAAAAACTCGCAAGAAAGAGTAAGGAAAGAAGGAGATACTTCTCTAGTGGAGCTGCCATAGGCTAACATGTATGACTCCTTTAGGACGAAGTATGGAAGCTGATTTTCAAGTAATTGCAAGTCCAGTTTTATAGCATTTGTTAGCCACGGTTTACTTACCAAAAAATCTTCTCTATCATCATGGTACTTCCTCAAGAAGAGTTCAATGATGAAGACAGCATCACGCACAATCATCTCTATGAAATCGAAATCCTCAATTTTTTCTTCATAACAAGCGCGGATATGTTGTTCCTCTTCTTTGACGAAGTTCTCGATCTCCTCTTTCTTTCTGAACTTTTCCAAATATCTCTCCTTGTAATTTCGCATGTCATCAAATTTCCATTCCTTATTGCTTTTCGGGTTATCCCACTTTCCTTTGTCATGGTGATATGGACCAATTGAAACAATGTGAGGAGTGTAAGCATCATTATTTATTTTCCTAAGTTTCTTAGGAACCTTATAAATACAACAATATAGACGCTCACAACAATATTGACCCTCAACATTTTCTTTGATATCAATAGTTACCCCGTCTTCCTTTTGATGCTTATATTCAGAGGAACTTCCTGACCGATTCAACATTTTCTTATTCCTCAGTGATTCACTCTCAACTTCGACAACTTTATACTCCTGGATGTGAACAGGCAACTAATGATCACAATAAAAATATAACCAACTTTCATAACTAAATTAAATCTTTCATCTTCACAATCGGATCAGATTTCTCAGAGTGGTTAATATGAAACATACGCCAGCTACATAGTAGATAATTAAAACCAAACTAGCAAATAATCACAAATTATAAACAACATCTCATAAGTTTGATATGAAAAAATGAATGATTCGATGCATATATATGTTCAGTATGATTCACTCAAGCTAGAGGAAAAACATGAAAATAGAAAATATTAAGTACAAAACTACTTTTTTTGTCTACTTATATTAAGTTTTAAATCTTCCAAATTCCAAATTCTGGAAAGTATATCTGGCTTTCTACTATGTAACCTGCTACGTAAAGGAAACAAATTACAGGAATTATCATGCCATTAAATTAAAATAAATAAATAAATCTCACCTAAAATTCTCTAAAATTGAATGGGACACTAAAAACATTTAATGAGATAACACCAAGTTAATATATATAACAAAGACCAGAAGAAAGACCTGAAAAATTTCTCCGAAAATCAATCACCGAACTTCTTCGACTTGAAACTTTCACGTGTATATGCGTCTCAGAGGAATATATCTCTCTCGCTCTAATGGATGCCTCCGATAATCGTTTCCGCTTGCTTACGGCCATATAAATAAGCGATCTGCCTCACTCAGTCGTCTCAGTCTACTGACCTAGTGTTGTTTAATTTGCCACACGTGTCATTATCAATAAATAAAAAATGTTTTCTCCTTCTAATAATAACTATCTGCGTAGATAATTAGCAGCTGGTTACAGTTGCATGACATTAATTTAGTGGGTATCTTATCAACTTACAATCCAATCTTATCAATTTTTTCCGATAATTTTAATGTGCCAGTTCATCTTGTCTACTGATAATAAATTCCGTCTATTTAATTAGAAAATGACTGATTGTGAATTAACACATCCGAATTCGTGAAATTTTTTTATAAAATTACGCCGTTATCAATCTTTATTATAATTTAATTTATACCTGCTCTATCTAGCCAATAATTTTAGACTTTTATGACAAATTTTTTGCCCCGTGTCAAATGAGCTCATAAATACTCCAAAGATAGTTATTATGTGGGTCACCAAACGTACTAATAGTTATTTGTCGTTGTCTAGTCTTGGATCATGCATGACGATCGACGGGTGACGTTTCAAGGATTTTAATTGCCCTTTGAAGAAGCAGCGCCCACACTAATTACAGTTTCATTAATAAATAAATTTGAAGGCTATACGAATTTGCAAATAGTTAAACAAACATCTTATCAATAATGGTAAATACTTTGTTCTTAGATACTATATTTTCTGAGTCCTGCAGTGCTTTCTTGACAGAATAATTTTCCAGGAAATGTTTCTGAAATAGAACCATCACGTTTGCATATGCAGCACCAAAAGGACAGATTAAATTTATCATAAGACTATTAGTATTTTTGAAACCTCCTTGTGATCTTGATTTCATGTTTATTTCAAAAAACAAACAAGATAGCTGTAGCTGTTGTATGGGCACAACAAAATCAAAACAAAAAAGCCAAAGGAAATTACTTTCGATCTAATCGATAACTATTGATGGCAAGAAATATGAGTGTTTTTAACAGTAGGAAATGACAACACTGAGTCTGGTGGCTTCGATGCTCTCCCAGAGTTGAATTTGTGGTCTTCTTCTAGTAACTGCGGGTTCACACCCCATTAAAATATCTTGGCATATGCATGTTCTACTAATTGGCACATCATTTCTACGGAATTGCGATTAATGTACACAAATCTTGTTAATCTTTAAATTTATTCTGAATTTCTCTTAAGTATACCAACTAGTATGATTAGGGGGCTTCATACTAGTTTGTTATTGTGATTAAACAGGTTTTTATTTGTTAGTGACAGCGTGAATGCGATAAAAGGTTTGTTGCAGAGCCATTATCATATGGGTGAGGGGAGGGGACCTCCACATTTATAGAATTTATGAATGGTAGATATAAGTCACGCTGAGAACGAATGGATTGGAGTCACCTAAGCTGACAAGAATTATTGGTTATTCCCACTGGAGTAAACGACATTTTCCCGCCCAAGGTTTGGTGGACATAGCGGTTCCCACCCCTAGTTTCATAAATTGCAGATTTCCACCCTTTAATTAACACCGTTACTTTTCTTTTAAAATAACCCCCACAGGAGATCCCGACCAAGCCAAAAATCTAGCCTGATTCCGACACCATTGGACCTCCCCAACGCCACCATCAGCATCCCCTATCCTCCTCACCAAAAGCCCTAACTTTTCCACCCGATTGCACCTCGGCGAAATGCCAGAATTTAGTTAGAAAGGGGCAACAAAACGTGAAAACCTAAGGGAGAGATGGCAGCGATCAACAAGCAATTGCAGTCAGTGTTGTTAGGGGTTTTGCTGGGGCGAAGTTGGTGATGCTATTGGTGGTCTTGGGGGTGGTTTTCGGTGTCAAGACCTGCCGAAATTTGGATGAAACATCAACTGACACTAAAAGCGGTGGTCGTCGATTGGGGGGTTCAATTAGGCAGGGAGGTTAAGGGTTTTGATGTGGCGGTTAAGGGGATAGTAACGATGGTGTTGGGAGGGGTCAACTACACTGGAAATAAGCTAGAATGGCCTGAAATCGCTAGTACGGTGAATTTGAGAAGTGAAGAGTTATTTTAAAAAAATTTGGTAAGGTGAATTAAAAAGTGAAGAGTTATTTTAAATTTTTTTATCTTTGAAATGAGTATTTTACCCTTTTAACTATTAGATTAAACCGCTTTATGTTAATTTAAGGGTAAGAATTTATAATTTATGAAATCAGGGGTGATAACTGCTTCAAACCTTGGGTGGGAAAATGTCGTTTACTCTTCCCACTGTAATAAATATAGACATAATATCTTTCACTGTACATGTGCTCATATTACAGGCTCCAATGTACTATTGTCCTTTAAAAGTTTATAACAAATTATAAAATATCAGAAGCAAACATGAAACAACCATCGTAAAGAAATTTGATATAACAAACAACTAAATTAAAAACAAACTGTGTACGTTCATCAACTCTTTGCATCAAAATTTAAAAGGCTGAACTGAAGGATTACTCAAAATTTTGCTCGCAGGCTCGAGCCTTATCGTTTCTTACATTAATGGACACATATTAACAGAAGCCCCTTTTACATATCATCTTGCAAACACCATTGATTTCTCACGACTTATAAGAGTATGCAAACAACCGTGGTTTTCATCTTTCTTTCCTAGTTATTTGAGTGTTTTTGTTGTACCGAAAGAAAATTGATTAATTTAGCTCGTGTGGCCCCTTTCTATTTTGTTAGCTTTTCTGGTTCTATTCCATGTTTTTGGGCTGTTAGTATATGGGGTTTGCTAAGTTGTTCTAAGTTTAGCCCAAGTAAAGAAAAGCCTATTTAAGTGTATCAATTTGTTCTTCTATTTTGCACCAGATTTGGTAAATTCAATTGTTTTATTGCATTAACTTATCGTTTGGCTTAATCCAAGTTATTTACAACAACTGTTCAAACAAAATTCACGCTAGTTTTAAAAGAGGACTTAAAGCTATGTCAAATGATTGAATATATCGTGATTGCAAGTATATATAACAAAATATATACAAAATCATGATGAGAACAGAGAAGCTGGAATAATTTAATAATTTAGATGATAAAAATCGTTAACATCTCAGTATTACAAAACAAACATTCATATACAAAGTAGTGTTGACATTCAAATTAATATGCTTGTAAGAGAGTGAGTAGTAAGAAAATAGTATATAGTTGCAATATTAGTTATCTTATTCCAATGCCTCTCAAGAGATTGTGTTGATAAACACAAAGTAGTGTATTAGTATTATCATACTCCGATCCCACCATTCATGGGTGCTTTTAGCTTATTGATAATGTATTTATAACAAGAATTACTTGAGGTAATCTCTAGGCAAATTTTGTTAAATATCGATCTCTATTTAGTATATTGATATATGGTTGTCCACACAATCACTATATATCTCAAGAAGCAATTCTCCAATACATATATTCATTTTCAGTGGCTAATAAGTATTAATAATATATTTATTTATCCAAATATGAGAAACATCTGGCACTAATTTCGCACAAGTAGAAGTATAATTCTAGTCAAAATTGAACTCTGAGAGTGAAACCCACAAAATAAAGTTGAGGGCATTGTCAGTAATTAAATTAAAATCCATTTACTAGAAAGTAAACAGAAACTTCCCTGGAATATTTTACACCCCTACGAATTGGCTTCACAGCTTCACTTGTATAAATACAAGGTCATGATTAAATTTTCTCTCTGATCACAACCTTTACCCAACTTCTTCATGTGTCGACGGTGAAAATCGCTTCTTCATCAGTCTCTCGTTATCCTATGGTGGTTGACACTTCGGAGAAGAAATCAACGGTTTTCAATGAAAAACCTAAACTTGAGATAAAATTCCATGTGAAGAGCAACAATGGTACAGCTTCGAATGAATTGGATCAAATCGTAGCCAACGCAAAAAGTGATGGAGAAGCTCTAAAAGTTGAGACCTCGGGGAAAGAATCGACGGCGTCAGAAGGTGGACCAAAAATAAAGTCCGATCAGAAACAAATTTTAGCCGTCACAAGAACTAAAAAAGATTTTGAAAAGGTTGAGACTTCGGAGAAGAAATCAAGGGTGAGCAGCCGTGGTGAGAAGAACAAAAAGAAGAAAGTTGCGGACGTAGAGAACCAAACCCTGGCTGCACCCAGTGGAAATTCAAGAGGGAAAGAAAAGCGTAAATTCTGTATTTCGCTAACTGAAGAAGAAATTGAAGCGGATATAATGGCAATGGGTGGATCAAAGCGGCCACGAAGGATCAAGAAGAAACCAAGGAGTGTGCAGAATGTTCTGAACAATCTTTTTCCGGGTTTGCGTTTGAAATATATAACAGCCGATGATTATAAACTTCCTGATACGCCTTAATCGTTGGAGCTAGCGACATTATATATAATCTCATAATTATATATTATATATTATATATGTAAACTCTTGTGCAGTTAACGCAAGTAAGGTTTGCATGTAACAATCAATAGAAAAATTCTTTCTTTCTATTATTAGTCTTATGAGTTTTCAAGTATTTTTTGTAGGATTTGTTGATGGAGAAATCATGTCAAGGCAATATTTATGTATATCTTTGAGAGAGACTGCAAAATGATACTTCTTTATTTGCATTAGTCAACTAAAATTTAATTACCACATCATCAAGAATCTGCCTGTATGTGTTTTGTTTTTCTTCATTATTCCAAGAATTTTTTATAAGTTTCTCTATGACCATCATGGCATCGTTTTTGACATTTTTATGTTTATGTTGTTGGAAAATACATAACAGATAACCCTAAATCCCCTGGAGGGGGTGGCTTACCCCCTATAATTATGTAATCTTCCTTCCCTTAACTCTGACGGTTTGTGGCCTGATGTTAAAACTTTAACCATCTGGGTGGGTTACCAGAGGTCTTGTTGTCCTATTGTCCTGGCTGAATAGTTCTCTCCAAGTTCAGCAAACGGTGGGATATTAATCAATTTGATCCAGACTTTCCAGTCTTTCTGAATGGTTAAGGAGAGTTGTTTCTTAAAAGTAACTACTTTGAAGCATCTTGGGTCCTGGCTGGATAGTTCTCTCCAAGTTCAACAAACAATCAACTTCGTTAATCAATTACTTAATGAATAAAAGTAAAAGAGACGAGACGTACACTCAATTATTATCAAGTTGAATAATTCAATTCAAGAAATCAAGACTAATCAATAATGTAGACCTGGTTAATTAGATATACAAATGGTGATAGCGAGGAAGGTCAAGGTGGCTGCTCTCTTTACTTTACCCTACTAATAGCTTCTACAAGAAGTATCCTCATGCTAAAATCTATAATTCTCTAATCATATTAATCACCACTTCCTTGCAAAAATCTATAATATTTTTGTTGCTGTTGATCAAGGCGAATCAGAAACTCTATAATCTTCTATCGTGATTGATTTCAAGCGCAATCCAGGGAAGAGATTATCAAGTATTCTCTGCACATACTTTGCTCTTTTCTTCTTGCTTCTCCTGAGTCGTTTCGATCCACCTGTTGCTAAAATATCCGCTTCAATCTCCTCCCTACTGAGAGATATCGAGAATCTCCGCTTCTGTTTATCTGCTGATGCAACGCTTTCCTTCCTTGCATCCTCTTTATCTGTTACAATGCTTTGATTTTCTGCCTCCGAAAGCAACTCATTCTTCATCTCGACTTTGGCTCCACTGTTCGATGCGGTTGGTTTCATCGCCGATTTTTCTCCGTCAACTACGTCATCCTTCAAGTTGATTTTTTAAGTACCTCCCTCAACTTTAGATGCTGTTTCCATTGATTTATTATTCGGAGTTTGAACCTCTACCGTCGAATTGGTATTTCTTTCAGTAGGAGAGAGGAACATTTGATTTGCAAGAAGCTCCAGTTCAACCAGAATTTATGAACAAGTTTTAATGGCAAAGTGATTTCAGGAATTTTTGTAGAGGTTTTGATGGCATGGTTAGGTTTTATCTAAACAAATATTTGATCAACGTATTACTTCTCAATAAGTCAATATTGAACGAGGAAGAAGACTCTTCTAGCCTTTTCAAGAGTTGTGAAAGCAGAGGAAGTTATGTTTTTGAAAGAGACCGTACAACTCGGGACTTCTGCGTTACAAACACCTAAAATATAATATCCAATCTTTATTGCTTATTGAGTTATATATTTTTATATATTAAATCCTAAAAGAGATATCGTATTAGACGTTAACCGAGTAATGGCCCACCGCCCACCTTTAGTTGCTGAATTATACGAATCCTGTGGATTTCAAGACAGGATGCATTCAGCAACATTGAGTGCATTTCAAAGTTCCAAGCAACTTCCAACTTTCGAAGACTTTCACTTCATGTAACACTAACACCCCTTTAGGCTGAGTATATAGCCCCACTCTTGTATAGCATATATGCTTTTTATAGCAGAACAAAATATCTAACTTCAGTTTCTTAATGTAACGACGTCTTTGTAATTTAACTCAATGCACTGTATACTGAACACTTCCCTCAGAAAATTAGTCTTATTTGGAAACAACAAGAGTCACCATTTCTCAAAATTCAACTAACAGGAGAATCATCAAAACATTGACCCGTAATGCTGAGAAATGCCCTTGTGGCAGTTCAGCAAAGCAAGACATGTATCAAGCTGTAATATAGGATGTATGGATTACAGCTAGGGGATATGAAATAACAAACTCCACTGAGTCAAAGTTATCTTTCAAACAAAAACTTCTTGCTCGCATCTGCATTTGAAATGATAAAATGCTTAATCATATGCTTCATGCTGAATTATAGAAAGAAATCAGAACTAGATTCATGCCAAAAATGAATATCAGTCAGCGCTAAACTTTACTATTTGATAGATACCAGATGCAACCGGATAAATGAAGCCTGTTGCTAATACAAGTAATAACTATTATGAACAACAACCAGCCACAGACACAGTAGATGACAATATGATATCAGCTGAGAGACTTCATAATGCAATACATCTGAATAGCCAAATCACAAGCCAGGAGAAACATTAAAATTTCTATCTATATCAGCAATATACTGGGAAAGATCCTTCGCCTTGGAAGTTTGAAAAGCCATTTATTCCAGGCCTACAGTATTGTCAAAATCAGCAGCCAATAACTCACGCTTAGACACGCATTATCTACCAAATACATCTTTACATCATTCCAGAATGCCTGCAAGCCAATAATGCACATGCCCAAATAGAACACATTGAAAATCTATTAGAAACATGATACTGAAAATAAATTCTGTTACTTTTTTGCTGTCCCTTGAGAATGAGACTTAAAATACAATGATATCTACTCAAAACAAACTTGAGCAATTATCCAATTTCCCATGCTTCAATAACTCAAACATTTGAAGACAATAGATTATTTGCCTCACACTAACAATGCATACTCCCAGAGTGTGGAGCCATTACAGGAGACACATTGCTATTAATAGACAGTAACACTACGTGCATCTCACATGGTCTTAAAATAAGGAAAGATGAGCGAGACAAAAACAACATCACTATGGAGAATGCCAGATTCCTTAAATTTATCAAGATCTGGAACTAAGCATTCTTGTTCTGTCACATGCAATTCCAGAACCTAAAGATGCAAAGCATATGTGTCAATACCTAACTAAAGCAATTGCACGATATGTGTTGGAAAGCTCACATCTTGATAGAGACAGATGGAAACTCACATCTACTTCCCACGCTCCCTCATACAAGAAAGATAAGCACAACAAAACACTTAAACCATTAAATAATGACACTTGCCTTACTGACCGCTCTGTAAAACACATTTAGAAACCATAACGACACAATGCTAAAAAAAAAACGTGTCAATCACCTAAGTACTTAAATTACACATCATTCATTTATCGAAGGTCAGTCAGACAGATCTTGCCCTAATACAAGGTGACTCATGTCTAGCTCACACTCTTCAAACAGGAGTATAAACCAGACAAAATTACTTGATTATTCACTAAAGACTGGCATGTTCATTGCTCCACTAGAAGTTGATAAACCAACCTTTTTTGCTCCTAAAAGTTCCATTCTTGAAAGAAAGAAAATAGAGAGTGATCACAAGTGTGTATCCTAACTATTAGGGTTGCCCAACACGTTTATATAATTCAGCCTATTCAATCAAACACATCTTGATTAACTGACAATTACTCGTACATTTGTTTTGACTCCATGAAAATGACACTTCCCTTACATTATTCAGAAATCAGTATACTATCAATTTTTACTCCAAATTTGTTTTTATCACATCCGTGAATAACAAGAATGCATCCGATCATTTGAGATACATGATATGTATTTGCTTTGATATTTCAACCTCTTCAACTAAAAGCAAAACAACCTCATGAACTCGCATGTAAGAAATTTCCATTTCATAGAATTGGAAAATGAAGAAGCTTTCATTCAACTGATGATTCATATGTACAACGGCAACTAGTCATGACACAGTTTATGATAAAACCCCTCTGCCGAACTCTGAGCTCCTCACACATTTACCAGACAAAAGGCACAACAACAACATACATATGTTAACCTTTCATCTTTACATTTATAAACTCATAATTCGCTATACCTTCAGCTGAGATCAAAAACTTCTAACTGCAGTCATTCACCTTCAATTTGCCCCAAAACTATAAAACATCAAAGTCCCATCTAACCCTGCAAACAACACATGATATAATCACATCTTTACCCCCGTAAAACTAGCATATAAAGTCAACAAATCAGACGGTCAGAACATAATACCTTGGCAGGACCATCATTAACCCGGTAGGAATCAGGCGTTATGGAGGCCAACCACAAACCCGGAAAAACAAACTGAAGAAAACAACGAAAACACAGAATCAGCACAATTGAAAACCAAAAAAATGTTTTAAAAAACGAATATATAGAACAGAGTCGTGGCTTACATCAAGTTGCCTCTGCACATTCTTCGCTCTCTTCTTAGGTCGCCTGGCGGGCTTGGACCCTGTCAGAATAAGAAAGTCATCTTCAATCTCTTCCTTGGTAAGCGAGATCGAGAACTTTTGCTTCTTTTCTTTCTCTTTCTCTTTCTTTTCTGGAACTTTCGCCTCGGTTGTTACAATATTCCGGTTACGAGTCAATTCAGGGCGAGTGGGTGGCTGAGCTTTGTTATCCGGCACCGCAGCTCCTCCGATCTTTGATGCACCTCCAATCGCATTATTATTAACCTTAGTGATCACTCTTCTCGGCCTTAAGTTCCACGTCTTCGGCACTGATTCTTCGGCGTCTTCAGCAACAGAGGTATGATCCCCTGTATAGGCAACCTCATCAGCAGTTTTACTGTTCTTGGTTCGAATTCTTATGAAAATCTTCGATCTACTACCATCAGATGAAACGGTTGGTTTCTTCTCTGAATTCTCAACCAAATCATCCGATTTCTTCTTGTCCGACTTTTCAATTCCATCAACGATTTTCACACCTTCAAGAAGCTGCTTCGGAGACTCGGACTCACAATCGGCGTCGCTTCGAGGTGATTTATGAGAAGAATCAGAGAGTTTGCGAAAACGATGAGTGTTTGTTTGGTTCATGGCCCATTTTAAGTCAGGTAAAGAAAAGTTATGAAGAGGCTGAGATTTGACTGTTGTTGAAGAAGCCATAGCAACGTCAAGTGGCTGTTCTGGTGTTTCCTTCTTTTTAATGAGAGAATGAAACACCATTGAAGAGTTAAAGGAACTAATAAACTTTCATTAAAATCTTTCTTTTTTAATTGTTTGTTTGAGTTCAAAAACTTCAATGGGAGAAACCCAAAAGGGAAAAAAGGACGAGGAGAATTCAAGAGAGGAGAGAATCAAAACTGAAGAAAATTAGAGAGAGAGAGAGAGAGGTGTTTGTGTTTGTATGTATATGAGAAGAACAAGTCCTGAAACTGGAAAGGCAAACAATAGGTGCAAACATTTTTCCAATATTACCCTTAGATTTTTTATTCATTTCCTTTACGGTTTAAGTTGACGATGGTCGATGGGACTCAATTGTGTACGGGTTCTTTCTCTTACTGTTCTTTTAGGTTGTGTTTAATTAAACGTGGATTTTCTTTCCGCACCATTTTATTGAAGTGGAACACAAAATCTTGCACTCAAATATTATTGCCATTGTCAATGAGAAGACGAGAATCTTCTATTTAATCTTCTATTTTGACTGAGGGTAGAACACTCTTTTTCTTTTACGCTCCTGTTGGGTAAAATTGGGAGTTTGACACGTGTCCATCATGCATTATACCAGATATGAATGTGAATTTGGTGTAACCCAGGACTGGAGACTATGTGGCTCGCATTTATTATAGAGTAAACGACATGTTCCCACCCAAGGTTTTGGGTTTCATAAATTCTATATTTCTAACTCTTAAATCAACATTTTTAGACTAAAAGTTTTAGTGAATTTGGGGTTCTGACACAATATAGAGAATGTTATTACCAAACTACCCTTGACAAATAAATTAATAAATTACATTTTAACCCCCACTTAGTAGAATTAAAAATAATCCATATTATTTTCAAATTTATTTCAGTAACACCCTTAACACAATTTAGAGTGGATTCCAACCAGTATCCTCGCTGGAAATGACTGGAATCACCACCCTTAGCCTATCCTCACAAGCCTCAAGCCGATTAATTGTCCATTTGACCGGATTTTGGCCATTCCAGCAACCATTATGGGTCGTGCGCAAATTCTTTTCAGGCAGATTTGGCCGTTTTTCGGATTCGGCAACCTTCCCCAACACCACCCACAGCACCTTTGTCCATCTACCACCAAAACCTCACCCTTTTCCCCCTGCAAACTCACCCACCATTCGCTAGCCACTACTGGTTTTCTTTCGAACGATGTGCGACTATCCCAAGTCGAATTCCGGCTGATTTCAACAGCCTTAACCCTTCCCACCACCATCCCTGGACTCAACAGCACCCTCTCTCCAAAACCCTTATCGACCACGGTATCCCGTCGTTCGCCGGCTACACACCGGCGATTAATTTCGTTTGATTGTTTTGTTTTGGGTTTTTCTTTTGATTTGTTGATTGATTGTTTGGTTATGTAAGGAAGTTTGATTGTTTGGTTGAGGGTGACAAATCTTGTCGATTTGGATGAGAAATCGAGCAAGGATCCACGGAATACAGCTGGCAATGGTGGTGAGTTGAGAGAGGGTGTTTGTGAGAGAAATTTGAGATGTGGAGAATCATTTTGAAATTTTTATTTTTATTTCAAATTTAATCCAATACAAATGACCACTTGACCTTTTCAACGATATATTAAAAAAATATTCTATTAAATTAAGGATGAAAATCTGAAATTTACCTTTACATGATATATTAAAAAAAAAAATCTATTAAATTAAGGATAGAAATCTGGAATTTATAAAATCAGGATGAAAACTTATAGATTCACGAAACCTTGGGTGGGAACGTGTCGTTTACCCTTCATTATATGACCAAACTGCCTGAGCCAATTTTCGTAATGATGTGTGGTCCAGATGTTGTTTTAGCTAATTCCCATGACCCAATTTACTTTCTTTCTAGCAATAAACAATTTGGACGGTGGTCACCATCTTATTATTTTATAGGGGTTTTTTGGTAAACTTTTTGGAGTTCTTAATAATTTATACCAAAATCTGGGAACCAATAGAATTAATGAATATTTTAGGGCGGGATCTGACAACCCTTTCCTAAACCCTAACGCGATTGCTTGAAATCCTAAAACTCTTCTTCATCACAGACAGATTATTTTCTTTATTTCATCTCCGTTTCCGGCAACGTCTTTTCACGTCACTGTCAGCAGCTATATGTAAGCATTATTTCCGTTTCTTTATTCTTCATCTCTTATTCTTGTTATTTTGTTTTTATTCTCAAAGAAATATGAACAGAAAATTTCCGTTTTGATTTTGAGTTGTTTGATTGATTAGCTGTCCTCGAGTGGATTTGTTTGAATGTTTTCAGAATTTGAGTATCAGTATCTAGATTTGATTACGGACATGGTTGAACTTGAAGTTGTGAAGGGATTTAGTTGGTTCATAAACAGCTAATTCATGGGAGAGGGTTAAATATTCTAAATACGAACAAGTTTATGAATACGATTGATTATGTATATGGGCATATGCTTTTCTTTCTTTTTCTTTTTCTGTACTGCGTTTGTAGTTTGATTTCCATGATCTTAAACAAAGGGATGAAATGTTCCATGGATTTTGAAAAGCGCTATTGTGAATTATATTTCATATGTGCATTTATCAATTTTCTTCTGATCTCTTAATTACTGCCCACTACCTGCTTGCTTGTTGGTTGTGTTTAATTGGAGAACAATCATGCTGTGAATAAGTTGGCATCGTTTGAAAGGACTTGTCCAGTAGAAGATGTCCACCAACAAGTTATTTTATCAATGTCATGACTTTGGGTTAGCTATTCATTCCATACGAAGAAAAAAAATGCGCTTAACTGTTTTCTATTTAGACATTTGTTTTTATACTTTGTTTGAGTAACCAGGCTCTGAAACACATCTTGGGAATAAATCTGCTGATGTATTGGCTTTCCAGGGCTACATCAACAAGTATTCTGTTTGTCGTTCAGAATTTCTACAAAATCAATGTTTATCCATTGAGATGACTGAGTTGATCTAAAATTGTGTTTGCAAATTTGCAAGGGTCTTCATCTGATATGCTACATTGTTGTAAATAATTTTTTCCCTAAAATAGCCTCTAACTTCTCCAAATGTTTCTATCCTTGATCTTGTAGTGGTGGCGGTGTTGAAAAATCCGCTGAAAAAGAACTTCTAAACAAATAGTGGAGAGGATGAGTGGCAATAGTCTTAAGAATGTGTTGGCGGCAGCTGTCATAACAGGGGTGACTGAAGCTAGGGCAAGGATCTTTGGACATGTACTGAACCCAACAGGACAGAGATCTCCCCACAAGCTTTTACGTAAGAAGCTCATCGGCGAGAATGTTTCAAAATGGTACCCACATGACATAAAATGGGATGACCCCCTTCTTATGGCCCGAAAAGAACAAGAGCGCTTATCCAAGCTTCAAATGTTGAAGCGGCGTGGTAAGGGACCACCGAAGAAGGGCCAAGGAAAGCGTGCTGCCAAACGTAACAAGTAGAGATAGTCCCATCCCTTGCCATTTGAATTTGGTTGTAGTTGATGTTTCAGGATATCTTGCTTAATGTTGCATAGTCTCCAAAAACATTTGTAGAAGTTACAAATCTTGATTGGATTGTAGAACTTGGGGAAAGCAATAGTTCTGTATGAGCATCTTATGACCTTGTGAAAGGCTGTTTGTTGGTCATGATGCTTCTTTTTCTTTGACTTTTTTATCCTGGTGAGTAGCAGTGTATGGTTCTATTAGATTGGTTGAAGGCTTTTAAAGTTATGTAATGCTCAATCTATTCATGATTTTGCCTCCCGTTCTGCATCTGGATTGTATTAACCAACTATGCTCTTCTGAGTTTTTAACTGACCTTCGTTCTGGGTGAGGGTAAAAATAATAATTTACAAAAAGAGTCATTTTGATAAGCTTCCAGTGCAATCATGTCCAGGAAAAAACATAAGCATACAGGGTTCTATTGGAGAGGCGGAAGGATTTTAAAAGTTATGTAACGCACCGTCTATTTATGTATTTGCCGCCGGGTCTGCATCTGGATTCATATTAACCCAGCTATTCTTCTGCGATTTGCTTACCTTCATTTGAAGTGAGGGTATAACTTAGATGATATAAAAATTTATAAAAACAGTCACTTTTATAAGCTTCCAGTACAATCATGTCCAGGAACAGCATAAGAAGAAGTTGCCAAGTCCTTTGAAACTACCCAAGGAAGATATGCAGAAAATGGTATATCGGGATATGCACTAGCATTGATTTCGTTTGTATTCTTCATTTAAGAAAAGCCTGTTGGATAAGGGTTCTCACCTGAAATGAGGCACTACAACTTGTATGGTAATTCTCAATCAGTTTGGCTGTAGAAGAAATTATTGGATTATTGATGGGGTCTAATTACAGAAGTAGCCTAACAATCATAGACATTCACGTAATTGAAACAGGAAACCAAAAAGGGGAAAAGGAAAAAAAAAAAAAATTGCATTTCTTCATGAGGGCGCCAATCTATTTCGCTTTTTCTTTTTCTTTTCTCAAACAAAAAGAATTCATCATAAACAAATAGAATCAGATACAAAGTATAAAATGCGGTAATTAGAAGTTGTTCACTACATACAATGGACGCTCATCAAATTGCGCCATGACTTGTAAGCTGGCATTGGAAGCTATATTAAGGCGAAGCGAACTATCGTTTAAAACAAGGATCTGCGAAAAATGGGTAATGCTATTGTCGCATGTCAGATACCAATTTACAGAACTTTCCAAGAAAATTGAATAATAATTTCTGGATGATAAGTAAAATCTCCAGGAAACTGTAGAGTAACTCAGTCATATTTACTGTACTTCATCATTGACAAAAATGCCTTCTACTTCTAGCAATTATTACTGGGTCTTTTGCACAAGAAAGACTCCAACCAATGTTTTGGAGCAGCTGGGTGAATTCCATGAATGAAAGTCATGAAACTCTTGTCACTAGCAGAAAGGATGGTCGAAATGCAGTAACTTTTGGTACACAAACCTTTCTCTGTAAGCCACATGTGGAATCTGTGCCTGGGCTTAATCCTGTACTCCAAGTCAAAACACAAATATCTTGGGTACCTATCAAGGTAATCCAAAGAAGCACCCATGTCCTGGCAGAGGAAGTTCACCTTCTGCTCTGTATATTCTGGACTCATGCTCATAAACCTTGCATCCAATCTTATCATCCTACAGATCTTCGAGAATTCGATTCCACAATGGAGAAGGCAATCAAATCGCTCTTGCAACTCACTACTGGTGCCATGCAAGGTAGCTAATACCTTCATAGTCAAAGCATTTTCTCCATAACCGATTCCATGCAAGAATGTTAACTTCTTCATTGTGTGAAAACAACATTTTTTGAAGATCGGATCCTCTCCAAGAAATCCCTAATTCTTGATTGAAATCTTCGTCAGGATTGCTTAAGGCATAATTCCCTAACAGTTGATGATTTCCATTCCTGATCTTGTCAAGAACCAATTTTGCAGATTTGCTGCCTTCATCACATGAGCAAATTAGCCTTTTATTTCTTCCCAATATATACGGGTACTTTTCAGATATAGATTCGTTTCCTTGGCACTCAATCCAAAATGTCTGAATAATCCCTCCACAGAAATCACTCGTGTCTCCAAATCAAAACTCAGGATCTCTGGGCACTAAGAACAACAAAGCTACATCCCGTTCCTAACTCCAAATCTCAAAAGAACTCCACCTTTTGAGCCAAAACCTCTTCTGAAATATCAACAAATATTCTTTTATTCTCACCCACAATTCACCTAACGTCCCCTTCTCACAACCCAAATCATAAAACACGCGAATCTTCCTACAAATTTCGTACCAAAAATCCACATATCCCTCTACGCAGCTCACTAAATCAAAATCCACAAAAACCCTTTTCAAATCATCACAATTCACCATCCTCAACCACAACACATGAGAAAAGCGAAACACACACCAATCACATGTACATTACTGAACCCATAATCATTTTTAAACCCACAAAGCTTTGACGTTATTTCTTCGCAACTCTTACTAAATCAAAACTTCTTCTTTATACAATCTCCCCAACATATTCCAAGGAAACCCAAAATCCGAAAGCGCACAAGCAGCATTCATACATTCTCATCCTCGAAAAGAAAAAACTTATTAGCAGGCAAAATTTCACTTACTTCACTGTAATGTATCCCAATACTTTCAAAGAAAAACTCAAATTCGTTAATAGGGTGGTACCTGAAGAATCTAACGATGGAATTAGAGAATTAGAAGTTTATAAGGAAAGCCGAGATTTGAAAAGAGATTGAATAGACTGTATAGAGAATTTCGGCTAATATTATCTGCGAAGTGAAAGGTATGGACTTTGTGAGTGGAGATAGTCGTAACTGCTTGTTGCGCTTCTTTGATGGCTCGTTTCTTGTATTTAAATGGGATTCTTGGAAGCCTTGGTAGTGAACTCAAATGGCGGGAAAAGATTGTGTATACAGGCTTAGAGATGCCCATTGATGTAACGAGGTTAGGGTTTTGGCTTTCATTAGATTTTTGGGCTTTTCACACGGAGCGTGTTTCAGACAAGAGCCGTTTCTTTTTCAATTTTCGGAAATAAACAATTATCAATAAGTGCGTATGAAATAATTATCAACCGGTAATCAATAGTAGTCTTGGTGAGACATTTACATTGTCATGCTATTTAAATTAAATTAAAATTTTATTTCGACAGACGACAATTTCCCACCCAACGTTTGACCCAAGTCATTTTTTCAAATTTTTTTCAGTTTAGGTAGGATTTGAATTTAGATTCAAATAAATATATTGAATAAACCATATCACTTAACAGACTGATCTTAACGATTTATGAAATGTATCTTTTTTAAACTTTTTGGATGGAAAAATTGACTTAGGCTTTCTCTTATTTTTTAAAATCTTTTTATATTATTTTATGAATAATGGTTTTTCCTATCCAAATTTTCAAAATACAACTTTTTACCTAAAATTATATTTTGTTAGTAATTTTTATTAAATATAGTGTATATTAACGAAAATACATGTACCTGTAGTGACTCTTATTTTTAATTATATAAATTTAACCTAAGGTATGTTTCTCTCAGGAAAAAAAAAAAAAAAAGTCTCATTACGCCACCTACATTACCTAGGTCGCAGCCTGCTTACGTTTGACTAGTCTAGATTGCAGCCTATGCTCGTTTCGCCTAACCGGCTGTCTGCGATCTGCACCGCAACAAGCCATCTCCACCTTTCCAGCGTATCCACCCCTCTCTACATCCTCCATAACCACCCCTCAAACTGCCATTTCTATGATTCTATCACAACCACAATCAAAACCCACTCCCACCTCATCAAACCCGTTCCCACCTCCCACTTTCACCACTAAGATTCGGGATTGGTTTGGTTTCTCCACAGAAGCCAACAAAATTATCATCTCCCAATTATTCTATACAACTTCATCCTCTATCCCTAACTCCACAATCATCATAATAGAAATAACAATAGGAAATAAATACAAACATAAATCCTAAATGTAGGTAATGTCTATCGATTATTAAATGGAAGTGTGAGAAAGATTTGAGGGTAATATAAAAAGGATAGAATAGAGGGGTTCAGAGGAGAGAACGATGTTGATTTGTGTTGGTGTGGCGGTGATTTGTGTTGATTTTGGATCGTAGTAGTGTGTGAAGCGTGTGGCCTGACAATGAGAAGTGAAGTGGGTGAGTGTCAAGTGCACAGTGGCAAAGTGGGACGAAATGGGGTGGGTTTTCCTAGTATTTTTTTAGGTTTGTTATAAGTTAGAAATACTACATTTACAATTCAATTCCGCAACTTTCTCTTATAATTCTAACATAATAGCAAAGTTGACACTATCACGTCAACTCTACCACACCCAGACACTAAAATGACTTGAACTATCGTTCCTTACGAAGGAACAATCATTCTTTATAAGATATGGTCATATCTTCATAGGAACATCATTCCTTGGAATGATCATACCTTCACAAAGCATAAGAACGACCGTTCCATAAGGAAGAATGATATGATCATACCTTCACAAATCACAAGAACAACCGTTCCATAAGGAGAATGGTCGTTCCTATTGTGAGGAACGACCATTCCTCAATAAGGAATGACCGTTTTATAGATTTAGTCAAAATCATTTTGTGCATTGGGTGTGATGCAACTGATGTGATAATTCCACTTAGTTGCCATGTCAAGTTGTAAAGATGTTTGTAAGAATGAGTTGTGGGCGTTATTACTCTATAAGTTCCAACCCTAAACCTTAAATTTTGATTTTGATGCACAATACTAATTACCATCTGGACCTATATAAGGGACTTTTAACCATTTGCCCTCCTACACAATGAAATTTACTAATGAATCTATACTGTGGATAAATTTTGTATTTTGAAATGTTTTAGTGAGAAGTATCATTAGCTATTATTTGGTGAAAAAATTTGTTTACTCTATATTTATATCTTTGTATTATGGTATTTCATTATTTATCGATTATATATAAGGGTGGTGAAAAAATAGGGTAGAACCGAAACCAACAATATTCGAGGTTTCGGTTTCTACAAAACGAAACGTTATTGTGCACCGGTTCCACCACTGTAGAACTGAAATCAGAACCTAGAACCAGAATCAGAACCAAGACCCAATAGGAATCAGGACTGAACTGTAATTTTTGTAAACTTCAGGTGTATGGTTATTTTTTGGGATGCATTTGTCATTTTTGTGAATAATAGGGGTATAAATTTTCTCAGATATGCACTAGCCTTGGTTTCGTTTGTATTTTTCATTTAGAAAAAACTTTGATAAGGTTCTGTTCTCCCCTGAAAATGAGCCAACACTTGTATGGTAATTCTCCATCAG